TTCTTCATCCCCCACGCTGTGGCCCCTTGACTCACCACATATCCTGAGGCTATTGGTCAATAACAAAGGCTATTGGTCAAAGGCAAGGCTGGTCACACTGAGGGCGTGGTTTGAGCAGGGCAGGGTTCAGACAACCATGTTAAGATAGTGCTAGGGAGGCCCCCTCAAAGGAATTTCACTGCTAACACTTTTTTTTAGGGTCTTTCTGCTGTTTCAAGTCAATTGTCTCAATTTTCCTTTTAATTCTTTAACTAGTTTTCCTTCTCTTGTCAGAGAATTTTCTAGGTCTTCCTTGCCAGTCTTTTCTACATTTTTGTCTCTAGTCTCAGAGAGGCCTAGAGGTTAAAGCATAGACACCTATGTAAAAAAAATCAGGTATTAGGAGATTCGTATTTAAGCACAGTGTTTAATATCTCTGATGGAGCAAATATAAATGTCATATAGGTAGGAATGATTTCCAAAGGAAAAGTGCTATATTGATCTTTGAATGCATTCTTTATGGGTTTAGGCCACTGTCTCCCTAGTTCACAATAATTTGAGGAAAAAGATTTCTGTGAAGCATCAGTTTTAGTGCAGACATACATTAGTGTTGTGTAACACAACATAGGACTGAACCCTAGCTTCAATCTGAAATAAATAAAGCATGTCTACTTTGAGCAAACATTTTTGTTTCCCTGTCAATGCACTGTGTAGTTACCAGGTAATATGCATTCCCACTGGATAAGTGGGTGCTGGCTGTTGAGCCAGGGTCTGGGGGTAGCTTTTCTATCTCAGTGAAGAGTGATGGGAGGTCTCTTGGTAGGTATCGTGACTTTGCATGATTTATCTTTCAAATAATGTCAGCCAGTTTTATTCCAAGACATAATACTAGGAATCACCTCCTTTGCTTTCTCTAAGTGTTTGCAAAACAACTATAGAGTCCGAGTTGGTTTTTGGGTTTCTTTGTTGTTGTTGTTTTGTTTTGTTTTTTCATTGTCTAACAATCCACATATACTCTCACAGCTGGGACAGAACTACATTTTTAATAAAATTTGCTTTGTTTTTGTTTTGCAGTCCTGTGGATCAAATATAACTATAGATACTTTTTAATCCTCCTGTTAGTACATTATAGTTAAACATAATAATTGGGTTCATTTTGACTTAATCATACATGCATGGAGTTTACCTTGTTCTATTTCAGTTTCCAGTGCTTCCTCCTTTCTTCTTCTTCTCAATCCCCCAATTCCCCTTCCTCTACACTTTTGATCATATATATATATATATATATATATATATATATATATATATACTATTTTTTCTTGATTTTTTAAACATATGCATTGTTTATTAAATTGGTGCTTTATAGATATATAGGAAAGTACAATTTACTGTGATACATTTATTCATGTATATTATGTAATTTTGTCAAATTCATTCTGCATTTCTTCTCCTTTTCCTTCCTCCTTTCTTCCCCTCAATTTCCTTTCACAACTCCAATGACCTTCCCTCTATCTTCCTGAGTTCCAACACACTCCCCCTTTATTTCCCTTATTTTGGTTTAGTTTATGCATACAAAAGAAAACATTTGACCCCTGATTTTCTGGCTCTGGCTTATTTCCATCAGCATGATGTTCTCCAGTTCCACCCACTTATGAGAAAATGCCATAATTTCCTTCTTCTTTATGACTGAGTAAAACTCTGTTGTATATTTACAACACATTTTCTTAATCCATTAATCCACTGATGTGCACCTGGCCTGGTTCCATATTTTGGCCATTGTGAATTGTACTGCTATAAACATTGATGTGGCTGTATAATTATTGTATGCTGACTTTAGTTCATTTGGAAAACTACTGATGAGATAGCTCAGTCTTATGGTGGATTCATTTCTATTCTGTAGTATGACACTCAACAAAACAGGAAGAATTAATACCTTTTTTTGTTTTGTTTTGTTTTTGAATCTGGCTTGACTATTTACCCCTATGACCAGAACTCATAAATATATACAAAAGCAGATGAAGATTTTACCTATGCACTTTATTAGAGGGAAGCTTTATCTTCAAATTGTTTTAACCTCTAACCTCTCATGTAGACTGAACCTAATAATATAGATTAAATCCTTTCAGGCTTTATGATCTCATATAAAGTTTCTGTTTATAAATGGGGACAATAAATGACCAGGAAAATGAAATTTGTTAGTATATCAATAGTTATTCCACAGTTATGGCCATAATAATTTGTGACTTCTCTGAATATAAGAGGGCCAAAGAGAAGTTTTACTGATTTAGAGGAAAAGGATATAGAATCTCAGAATAGACCAGGTTAAAATCTCTTTAATATTAAATATCCGTGAGATGGGCATGCTGTGTACAGATCTTTGGCCACATCCTTATTGGGTTCAATTCATAGGTTCTAAATGAGTCAGAAAATAAAATCATCCTCTGAAGGCTTATTGTTTAGTAGATAGAGATATAGAAAATGAATATATAGGCCAGTTTAGAAAATAATTTTGTATTATTATTACTAAGAAGAAAATTAATATTTGGAATAGATTAAAGTGAAATGGTTAGAAAGCATGATTATGTCAGGAAGAGTCTGAAGCAAAAAATGAACTCTTGGTATGCAGGAGAAATAAATAAGGGGCCAGTGAGGTGGAGAAGCAAGTGGTAAAATGAGAATAATAACAGATATTTTGCAATAGGGGCATGGGCTTAATGACTTAGACCTGGTCTTCAGTGGCAGAGAGTGAGAAGCCACTGCAATATTTTAATCCCAGTGCTGGCTGACATAATCTCAAAACCCTTTGTAGTCTTAACTAGATTGCATTTATAATAATAATAGCCTGTTTATCACAACTCCTTTTTGTTCAGATGGCTTTTATTGCCAAGCAACAAGAATTCATTATCCTTTCGTCTATTAAAATTTAAGTCATTGAGAACTGTGTGTGTGTGTGTGTGTGTGTGTGCGTGCACGCATGCATAAATTATGAATTTGTTTTCAATTATGCTGTCTTGGAATGGTAATATCCAGATCCCTAAGGAGTAGAGTGTGTGTGTCTTCCTGCTACCATTCCATCATCATCATCATCCTTTTTGACACCCACTGACAAAATAGTTGGAGGCAAGAAGGAGAAAATGAGATTGATAAATTAAAAATGCACATTGTTCACCTTTGCTGACAAAGTAACTGGATTAAAAAAAATTCAGTGCCATAAAAATTTCTCTTTGTTCTGTTTAGAGGCATTGAAAGGCAACAGGGCTCAGAGAGACCCAGGTTCTTATTACCTGAAACTACAATGTTTATTGGTCTCTCATTCCTAAAATCATAAAGTCAAATTAAAAATTAATTTACAGGACAAATCCTAATCAATGTAGGTAGGCAATGAAATTTCTGGTAGTTATATTTGCCAAGGTATGGCATGCAACTGGTACAGTGTACTCGTTTCAATCCTTGATATGAGAGTTTGGCTCAGGACTTGAAGGTAAAGACTCTGAGCAATATAGCACTCTTTCAGAGTGATTCATTTGCTAATGCAGCATCCCAGATGAGGGGTGAGTCCTCAGTGAGTGCCTGACCTCAGACTGTTCAATTCACTCAGAATTGGGCTTTGGATCATCTGCCACTTCTCATCCACTCCAACCAATCTAGTACTACTGCTTCCTCACTCTACTCTTGTTCATTTTTCATGTTTGCAGATTTCCCTGGTCTGTTATGTCCTCTGAGTCATCATTCATGTCTAGTGTCTATAAATTTGACCAAAAGACTTGCTTCCCACAATATCCCTTCACTAAACTGAATGCTGCACCTCACAAGGAGGCCCTCCCTCTCTTCAGGTTTCAAATGGCTTTGCAAAAGATTCTTACAACCTCACTTACATGGGTTTTGCATGTGTAAGCATATTACTTTGTCCTAAAAATCTTATCTCTTGAGTCACGTAATATTCTAAGAATATTCGTTGTTTACTATTTTACTATTGCCAATAACATAATAATAGCTTATATAGCTTTTTCTTTTTTTTTCTTTCTTTATTTGGTACTGGGGATTGAACCCCCAGGGGCACTTTACTACTGAAAGCTATATCTCAGTCTTTTCTTTTCTTTTTCTTTTTTTTTTTTTAATTTTGAGACAGGGCCTTGATAAGTTACTGAGAGCCTCAATAAGTTGCTGAGACCTGCCTTGAACTTGTGATCTTCCTCTCTCAGCTTTTGGAGTTGCTGGGATTACAGGTGTGCACCACCAGGCGCAGCAATAGCTTGTATTTTTATAGTCAAGGTCCTGCACTATTGGGTCTTTGTTGATACTCTCCTTTCAAAGAGGCAGTTTCATGCAAGTCACCAATCCCTGACTTGTTGGTTTTAGACCATGAGCCTTGAATTACTCATGTAGATTTCTCCTACATAAAGCTTTTATCTCCTCTTCCCCCAATGTCCCCACTTATATGCTAATTGTAACTTCATTTTAGTGTGATATATTCTATCAGAATATAGTGTACAATTATTTCATATGTCTTAGCCATGGTGCTCCATTAGGATAAAAAAGAGAAAGCTATTGTTGAATCATGGGAACTTATTCTAGAAAGCGCTCAGTCATCACTCAATTCAACCCCATACCTCTAAAACAGTTTCATATCACATATGACAAACTAGCTGCTGAAAATGAATATTAGAATAAATTAAAATAGTTATCCTATCCTAGACCTCAGATCCCACAAGACTTTATTATTATTGTTGTTGTTAATGAAATTTGGCTTGTACTACAAATCGGCTTTCTCAGGTATCATTTACCACTTCCTTTTACCCCTCTGTAGCAAGTTTTTGCCACACTATCCCACAAGTCCCTGCTGGCTTAACTCACCATTTCCCCACACCCATAGAAATTCTTCCCCATCTTAGTGTCCTTGACCTTTTAATAATATATACTTGACTTTATGTGTCGCTATACACTTCTCAAAGAAACTCATTTCTTCCTATGTCTCTTCCTACTTCTCAGTATAAAAGAGTAAAATATGGAGAAGACAAAACTTTTCAATTTTGAATTACTGAAGAAATGTTTTATTAAGCAGAAGCTATGCTGTCAAGGCTGAGCTCAGTCCCCATGTACAGAAGGAGGGTACTGGAGACACACGGGAGCACTGGTGAATAGGAAGGCGGGTTTAGTGGTACTTGTGGCCCAGAGCATTGGCAACACCAGTCACCAGCTTCTGCCAGGCAACCTGCGCTTCAGGGGTGAATTCCTTGCCAAAGTGAGAGGCCAGAACAATCACCAGCACGTTACCCAGGAGCTGTTAGATGAAAAACAGAATGACACATAGGCGGTTGAGTAGGAGTTTCCAAAGAGAATTTGTAGGAGAAAAAATGACTTTATACCTATATTTCTTCACAGTGACAACCTCAGCTAAGCTTAGGTTTAAGTTAGTTTGTCCCCCCAATTCAACATTCTACCTCCTTATATCCTCACCCTTTCTTTCCATTTAATCATTTTTATTTCCTTCCTTCTTTTTTTCTTCATTCACCCAAATTCTGTAAACATACGATTTTAGTGCTATGAGAATTCTCAGTGGCAATTTAAAATCTCCCATCAACCAAGGAATAAGTCTTTACTTGATCACAATACTTAGTGGGAATTGGATAGATTTTAGAGAATTTTTCAAATTTTCTTTGAAAATATCTGTCCTTAAAACTTTCCCCAAGATCTTTTCCTAAACTTCAATCATTAAGATCCACACTGAAACAGCAATTCCATTTCCTTGAGAAAAAATCCTTGGCCTATATATTAAAAAAAAAATTCATTTCTCCTTGCACAAATCTATAATCGTCTACATTATTCTCCAGAGAAAACACATCCAGTTCTGACAGAATTTTCTGAGTAGTTTTAAGAATATTTAGGCTTCTAAATGACCTCAATTGTTAATAGTTTTGAATCAGGTTTGTCTTAATTATGCCCTCAAGATATCTGTGTTTCCACTGCCAAGCTGGGCGGATGATTTTTGAGGTCTTGGCTAATATTTCCAGTCAAAATCTCAGCTCCCTTATTGGCCTCAAGTCAAAGCTATAAAGAAAGCATGAGCATCTGGAACTCACCTTAAAGTTCTCAGGATCAACATGCAGCTTGTCACAGTGCAGCTCACTCAGCTTAGCAAAGGCTCCCTTGAGGTTGTCCAGGTTCTTAATGGCGTCTCCAAAGGAAGTCAGCACCTTCTTGCCATGGGACTTGACCTTGGGGTTACCCATGATGGCAGAGGGAGAGGACATGTTGCCAAAGCTGTCAAAGAATCTCTGGGTCCAGGGGTAGACAACAAGGAGCCTGCAATATGAGATAATAACAGATTCAAAATTAGAGACATTCCTAATTCATGTGCCAGAGTCATGTTCACCCTTCTCTCCCATTCATCATGATCCAGTGCTTACCTGCCCAAGGCTTCACCTCCGGTCTCTTCCACATTCAATTTGCTCCACAGGCCACAGATAATGTTCTTCTCCTCAGCAGTTAGATTCACCATGATGTCAGGTCTGGGAGTTTGCTGGTGATTACGGAAGGGTCACAAGCAGGTATGTTCTGAGGCTACGAGTCGCGTCTTTTATTCTTCACTGCTGAAACACTGGCCCCTTGTTCTCTGCAGTTCCTTGAAGTCATTGGTCAAGGTCGAGCTGTGGCCCTCATGGGCGGGGCCAGAACAGGAGAGGGACAGCCCTGAAGAATCCACCACGAGTTTGTGATCATGCATGCTGGATCCTCAGATATCTTTACTGTTTTTTTTTTTCTTCTCCTCATCCAACCACAGCATGATCTTTAACTTATTCCTTATCCTTGCATTCTTTTCTCCACATGTAATCTTCCAGGATAATACCCCTATTTTTCATCTCTCATCTGCTTTTTCCAAGAAAGACCCACTGAGAGGAACTAAGCCCAAGATGGGAAAATAAGTTTCAGTTAAAAGAAAAAAAGTTTAATATTTGGTTTAAGAATGTTGACAGGGCTGGGAATGTGGCTCAAGTGGTAATGAGCTCACCTGGCATGCACGGGGTGCTGGTTTAGATCCTCAGCACCACATAAAAAAATAAAGATGTTGTGTCCACTGAAAACTGAAAAATAGATACTAAAAAATTCTCTCTCTCTCTCTCTAAAAAAAAAAAAAAGAATCTTGATAGTGATCAACAATTAAGTCAAGGGGGAAGAAAGTTAAAACACATGTAACTCTTACTCTGTTGAGAAGTTATTGCAACTGATATTTCTGGATCTTAGTTTTCACCAGAAAGAAGAAGCATACCAGGTTACTTCTGGATGCTGAACACATTATCAAAGAACCCACAGTGGGGCCACTGCCCCAGTTCCAAAGTACATTGCGTGGCTTCCAAGAGAGGATGGACAGAACAAGATCATACTCTGTGCTTTTAGAGAATCCTCACTCTTTCCATCTCTATGACCTCAGGAGAAATTTGTTGCTTTGGTTATATTCCCTGGGCTCTCTTCTTGCTTGTCTTTCCCACCTATACTGGGACTGCAGAGGGGACTGAAATAATTTAGAACCAGGATTTGTGATCAATCTGAGGAACAAGTGAATTGATCATAGTTGGGATATATTGTGTTTTCTGTAGCCTTCAAATTCCTCTAGTGCCCTTGTTTCGGATGACCCCATTGTGATAACTGGGTAGCTTTTTACACATTGGAGCTGAAGTTGAAAGCACACATTTATATGTATTCAATTTCATCTATATATATAAAGAAGATTTATATTATGTATGTAATACAAACGCTCCTAGGACATAAGCATATTTCCACTTCATCTGCACTAGTAATAATAGTCATTATGCACATTTTTTTATGAAGGAACAAGGTCTCAGAAGTGAAGTAAATGTTGAAATGACAGAGCTCATGGTTGAGGGAACAAAGGAAGCAGAGTTGAAAAATTCCAGAAAAAATTTTGCTTCTTACCATAGTCTAGTTTGCCCTGCCCATTTCTTGCTTCTAGGTAGTTCTTTATCTGCTTCTACCATTTTACTTATCTATTGCTCCTTTTTCCCAGAACTGAAAGATTCTTGATCTACAGGTCTATTTTTATTTATTTAGTAGAAATTTCTATTTATTTATTTGTTTTGTTTGTTTGTTTGTTTGTTTGTTTCATTTTGGCACCCTAGGTGCTGCTGGTCCTTTTTCCTTTAGCAGTAAGGCTTCTGAGTCCCAAGTCTCCATATTCCAAGTTTATCCAGAGTTCTGTTCTGCTCTGCTGTACAACTCTGCATTGGTATTTATGATTGTTTCTTATGTATGTTATCATGAACACTCTTAGCACATGAGAATATTTTGCTTGCCTTATTGCTGTGATTCTAGAAATTTTTATCTGCTTCAATTACACTCCACAAATTGGCATTATTCCAGGCTGCTGAATCTTTAGTGCACTTTCATTTAGCTTTTAACTAAAATTAGCTTTTAACCAAAATTATCATTATGGGAATATATTCTAACCAATGGTCAATTTAGATATAGCCAGGAATTCCTAAAGTATGGACTAGTTTGACACACCCATACATGCTAAGCAATGTATTTTAATTCATTAATTATTATACATAGAATTTCCAAAGAAATAAATTATATTAAAATGTATTAAAATTATATCAAGTATCAAAATATTCAATTTGTGTTTGGTACTATATTCTCATCTTGACACATACATTAGATTTAGTGGTGGGTCTACAACTACCATAATATTTAACTAGTGATACAGACTAATATTATTTAAAGATGTCTTCAACAACTGTAGTATAACATGAAAATATCTGTGATTTCTATCTGTAAGTAGGCATCAGGTACTTTTACATTATACTAGTTTGTTTTCTCCATTCAAATGGTTAGTGAAATATGGTATATTCAGAAAGGTTGGTGAAAATAAAGATGAATTGGTATCCCCATAAATCTTTCTTAACTCATTAAGTGTTCTGTGGTTCCCAGGTTAAAACTTCCTGACATAGAATACATAGCCCAGGAAGATAGAATTCTAGGTAAAGAGAGAAGATACTGGATGTTGGAAGTAGAAAACCAATGAATGATCAAGTAGCAGGTGGCCACTCTGGGAAGAGCAATGAATTCATGAAGACAATGCTCTAGTTTCCAAGGCACATTTTCTATGGATCTACTGTGAAGAATTTGGGTATGAGGATCAGATACTGCCAAAACCTATGGAAAAAGGACCAGGTGTCTCAAGCCTAGAATTTGGGAACATTTTTGGACTCTTCCATCCTTCTTCCTGGTCACAGTGTGGATGCCAGTCTTCTGTGACATTCATAGTGTAGAGTTGGTTCTTCTCTTCCTCCTCCTCTCTCAGACCCAATTTAAAATCCATATCTCTTCCACTACTTATGGCCTATGAAACCAGACCTCACTTCCATTCAGAGACTTGGCCTATCCCTTGTTCGGTTGTTGCCAAAAGCTTCCAGAGTGCAGGTTTAAAGGTAGTGGGTCTGTGCATCAGTGTGTGAAGGATGAATTCTGACTCCCAAGTCAGGCAGGCTGACAGCAGTTTCATTATTGCTTAGGTATTTGTGGATTCAACTGCTCCTTAATAAATATTGCATTTCTTTCTCCTATCAACCATGAATGAAGGATTATTGTCTTCCTTCTTTGGGATAAAAGTCAAAAGTTTGTAAAACTAAGTGACACGCCTATGCAGGACAAATGAGAAAGAATCAAAAGCCAGAAAACAAAATCAGTGAGAATGTTCACTTATGGTTTATTTACTTAAAGAGTAATAAAATAAAAACTCTGTATGTTTAAGACATTTTTGGAAAAACTTTAAAAAGAAGAAGACACTCAAGTTTAATAGAAATTAAGCCATGCTTTTTTAGGGTTTCCTGCAGCATTTCTAATTTTCTAAATTCTTTGCTGGATTTTAAGAAATTTAAGATAATTTTTTCAACAGGGAAAAATTCTATGTTTTGTTAAACATTTATGTCTTAATTTATAACATGCATTTGAAACAAAGATTCAAATATTTTACTGTCCTTGGGATGCTATTGATATGAAAAAATTATTGGTAGGTATAGTAGGTCCTTCACTTTACTGATGTTTTTCACATCTGTGGAAAAAAATAGTTGTTTCAATGGTTATTATTTACCATAAATAAGTTCTTTTATCTTTCATTTTAAGATAGAAACAAATTATGAGCAAGAGGAAAAAGTTGTTTAGGACCCTTAGAGAGGCTATAATTTATTCTGCTTCTGTTATTCTGCTTCTGTTATTCTGCTTTATATTGTTATAAAAGTACTAGATGAAACTGAATGGTTCTATTCAATTTTGTGTTAGCTAGAGATGACATGGGCACCATTCAGCAGGAGGAAGCCTTCCAAAAAGAAGGAATGGGAAAGCCAGAGGCAGCCAGTTATTCCACATTTTTCTGCCTCGTGAATCTTGAAAGTTAAAATTTGAATTTGGTAACTTAGAAAAGTCATAAATGTCCTGTTTTTCTTAAATGTAGCTTCATTTTCTTCTTTAGCAGTTTTTGACCTTAATTAAATAAAGTTGTCTTCATTTATTTTCATGATTACAATTCTTGGGAAATCTGGTTTGTCTTTATTTATGTTAAATAGCATTGTCTAATTATTCTATGAACTAAGAATGACATAAAACTTCTCTGAAATCATCATAAAAATAGACACTGTCATTAGAATGAGTACTTTTCTTTTTGTCTCCTTTTCTTTCCATTTACTGCAGCACTACCTCTGGGCATTGGGCCAAATCTCATTACTTTATCCAAGACTTAAGTCAAATAAAAATTTACAAATTTCATTCAAACATGGCACTTCCAAAACATATATAAACTCAACATTCAAATCATTTAGCATAGAGTTGACTCAAATGGGCCTCTTTTCAATTCAGGGTTTAAAATTCTCTACTCACAAATGTTAGAAAAGATCCAATTATGTACTAACAGTCCACTACTGCAGCTAGAAACGTGAAATTTTTGATTTGGTGAACTTTGCATTCTAAAAAAGTAAGAAAAGGCTGGGCGCAGTAGCACACGCCTGTAATCCTAGCAACTCAGGAGGCTGGAACAGGAGGATTGTGAGTTCAAAGCCAGCCTCAGCAACTTAGCAACTCAGTGAAACCCTGTCTCTAAATAAAATACAAAAAAAAAAAAGGCTGGGGATGTGTGGTTCAGTGGTTAAGTGCCCCTGGGTTCAATCCTCTATACCAAAAAAAAAAAAAAAAAAAGTAAGATGGGACTATTTCTTACCTAGGCATCTAAAGTATTTGGGCTTCTCTGTGTTGACACTGTCACATAGCATATTTCCTAAATTAAAAGTATGCAACTCTCTGGGAAAAATAAAACTGCAGATTGGCAAGTTAGCAGAGCTGGACTGGAAGGAACAATGGTAGTTGTTAGACCATTAACAAGATCAGCCACCATTAGGAACTATGAGAAAGCAGGACCCTTTGCTTTGTGTCACCAAGGATGGGATTTCTTAATGAATGCTCTCTCCCCCAGATTCCTAGTCCCAAAGAGATCCTATGGGAATAAAATCACATCAACCTCAAGTTTATTGAGTCTGAAGCACTGTGAAGGAAAGGAAAATCTCTTTTTCAGGTCCCTGGATCAAAGTGCTGCTCAAGTTTTTCTCTGTA